CCCGTAGGGCGCCACTCCGCTAGGCACCCCAGCAGCCCTCGAAAGTGGCGACAGTTCCACAGATCGCAGCCCCCCCAGGGATGGCGAGGTCTAATCTGTGTCCCCGTAGGGCGTCACTCCGCTGGGCCCCCCCAGCAGCCCTCGAACGTGGTGACAGTTTCACAGATCGCAGCCCCACCAGGGATGGCGAGGTCTAATCTGAGTCCCCGTAGGGCGTCACTCCGCTGGGCACCCCAGCAGCCCTCGAAAGTGGCGACAGTTTCACAGATCGCAGCCCCCCAGAGATGGCGAGGTCTAATCTGAGTCCCCGTAGGGCGTCACTCCGCTGGGCCCCCAGCAGCCCTCGAAAGTGGCGACAGTTTCACAGATCGCAGCCCCCCAGGGATGGCGAGGTCTAATCTGAGTCCCCGTAGGGCGTCACTCCGCTGGGCCCCCCAGCAGCCCTCGAAAGTGGCGACAGTTTCACAGATCGCAGCCCCCCAGGGATGGCGAGGTCTAATCTGAGTCCCCGTAGGGCGCCACTCCGCTAGGCACCCCAGCAGCCCTCGAAAGTGGCGACAGTTTCACAGATCGCAGCCCCCCAGGGATGGCGAGGTCTAATCTGAGTCCCCGTAGGGCGTCACTCCGCTGGGCCCCCCCAGCAGCCCTCGAAAGTGGTGACAGTTTCACAGATCGCAGCCCCACCAGGGATGGCGAGGTCTAATCTGAGTCCCCGTAGGGCGTCACTCCGCTGGGCACCCCAGCAGCCCCCGAAGGTGGCGACAGTTCCACAGATCGCAGCCCCCCCAGAGATGGCGAGGTCTAATCTGAGTCCCCGTAGGGCGTCACTCCGCTGGGCCCCCCAGCAGCCCTCGAGGGGTAAGAGCAAGAGAAGAGAGGAGGAGGCGGGAGGAGGCGGGAGGAGGAGAAGGAAGGTGGAGACCACAGTGCTCTATTCAAAACGAGTACCCAACGCAGGAGGGTTGGGAAAAAACATGTTGGCGGATGCCTGGGGCCCTTCGTCTGTTCTTCGGGGATCGGGAGCGGCCAAGAGGGGGGTGTCCAAGAGGGGGGGGTGCAAATCATGACCGGCGGCATGTGCGCGGCCCAGCGGGGGGGCCAGGGACGTAACGAAATAAGAAGAGGCGCCCTGAAATCTGGGGAAATATCATGGCCCCCGCCATGATATCCACCCCCCCTAGTCATCACCCCCCTCTTTTCCGCCCCCGAGGGGAGGGAGACGAGGCGTGCCGCGCCATCGGTGAGCCGCCCCGGGCCTGGTCGGCCACTGCAAAGGGCGGGCGGCCCGCCAGAGGGGCGCCGAAGAAGGGCCCTATGGAGGGAGCGGCCACGTGCCCCGCGCAGCCGCGGCTGCCTCTCGCGGCGGGCGGCTTGCGCTTGCGGGCGCGTGCGGGCGGGAGCTCCTGCTGGGCGCGCCGCGGCGGCGAACCCTGGCGACACGCTGTGTCCTGCAGGGGAGGAGGAGGGAGGAGGAGGAGGAGGAGGAGGAGGAGGAGGAGGAGGAGGAGGAGGGACTGTCAAATGGACTGTAACGGTGTAGGGAGGCCCCATCGGGGCTTGGATCGCCCCGCCGCGAGCGCCGCCACGCCCGAGGGCCTGTGGGCTGGCGCGGCGGGGGCAGCGGGCTTGGGCCCACCAGGGGTGCCCCTGCTGTACATCCTGGCGTCCAGGTCCCCCTCCCCAGAGGGGCCAGGACGGACCAGGCAGCCGGCCTCATGACGCTGGGCGAGCCTCGCCGCCCCCCCCAAACTGCCCGGGGGCCGATCCCCCCGCAAGTGGGACGGGGCGCCGGGCGGTCGCGCAGGCACTGCAGGCGCGGCCAGCGCGGGTGCGAGGGAGGGCGGGGAGGCGGGGGGGAGGAGGGGGGCAAAGGGGAGAGGGGCGGCGAGAGAGGACGGGCACCCAAAAAAGGGGAGGAGGGGAAGGGCAGCAGCGGCGGCAGGGCGGGGGAGGAGGGCGGCATGTTTACCTGCGCGCTGCACGCGCCAGCGCCGCGCGGAGGAGCCCCAGGTGGCGGACATTCGCCGCGTGCTCACCGAGGTTGTCTGTGTCCGTGAGCACCCACTCCGCCAGCCCAAGCAGCGGCGGCGGCCATTCCGCCAGCAGCGCGGCGCAGAGCGCATCACGTCCCGAACAGCGGACCAACAGGTGGGGCAGCCCAGCCGGCTCGCGCCCGCACAAGGCGCAGGTGGCCGGTAGGCGGGAGGTCCCCACGCCCCAGATAGCAGTTGGCAGCTCGGACGTGGCGCGCGCCACGCACCAGGCGCGGTGGAACTTCCACTGGGTCTGGCCCCAGGAGGCCCAACGGAGCTCCTCCGGCCAGGCCTCCCGCAGGGGGAGAACAGCCGCGACCGCAGCCCCGCGTCGTTGAGCTTTGCCAGCTGCTCGCAAAACCAAGCCCGCTCTGTTTCCCGAACCTGCGGGATGACGCAGGACCGTGCCCAACGCCGCACCTCCCTGCGGCGGGCCGCGGGCCCTTCCGCCGCCGCGGTTTTCAGCTCATCGGGCGGCGGCCCCACCCCAAAGCGCCCAAGCCCACGCCAGAATGATGCGCTGGGCGACTTTGGCGGCCACGCGCGTCAGCAACCGCGTCTCCAGGAATACACGGAGGTGGCCCCCATCGCCAACGGACGTGCCCGGTGGGAGCCCCAGGATCGCCTTCGCCGCGTCGTGGCACGCGCGACTTAGCTTCATGGGCCGAGACCGCGGCCCAGCCACGCGCATGGCTCGCAAGCAGCTCCGTGCCATACAGCGCGGCGGACCCAACGCGGCCCAGGCCCTGACCAACGATCATGGGGAGGCCGAACCCCCTGTCCGAGAGGGCGGCCGTCAGTCGTCGCGCGCCGTCCCGGAGGATGGCGCAGGTGCGCTTCAGGAGCGGGTCCAAGGAGAGCTCCGCGTCCACTGGGATGCCCAGGATTTCCGGACGGCTGACAGCGCGGACCCCGACGCCCCCGATGGTGTCGCACCTGCAGGGGTCCACGGCCGGCAGGCCCACCACCATTGCAGCGGGGCCCTTGATGCCGTCCTGGTAGCGATGTCGATAGGCGGTGCTGAACGCGCCCAAGCCAGCGTTGGCCCGCACCAAGCCGGTCTCGTCTGGCTGCAAAACGACTGTGTCGTCGACGAAATGTAGCAGCGGCAAGAGGGGGGGAAGGGCGCTCGCCGGGGCGCCTTCCGCGAGCGGGAGCGGCTGGGCGGCGGCCTTGCAGGCAGCAGTGGGGGCGCGGAGCAGCGCGCTGAACACGCGGACGCCAGCGCGCCGGCCTTGCTGCACCCCGAAGTCAAGGAGCGTGGCGATCTGACCCACGAGGGGGCCCACGCGCACCCGCACGCGCCCCTCGCTGAGGGAGACCGCCGCCGCGAGCCACCCTCGCCAGCGCAGTCCGGCCCGGCGGAGCTGCGTCACGCACTCGCGCCAGGCCACGTCGAACCCATGCAACAGGTCCGCTTTCTGAACCACCGTGCGGAACCCCAGCCCGCGCCGCACCTGGAGCGCGCCAGCCGCCATGAGCGTCGCATCGCAGCGCCCCCCTGCCAGCTCGGAGCCGGCGAACTGTTCCAACAACGGGCGGGCTACGGCAAGCCAGCCGGCATCCAAGAACCCTGCAAGATCCCCGACGTAGCTAGTGGGCCGGGGGAAAGCAGGGTCGCCGACGACCGGGGGCTCCCGTTTGCGGATCGGGGATATCTCCCGCATCCACCCACTTGCGCAGAGGCCAGAGACCAGCGCCAAGTTCAGAACGGCCCACCTCACCAAGCGGCCCGGCGCCTGCGCTGCCTTTGCCGCGGCGCGCGGCATTGGGAGCGTTTCGCGAGAGGAACGGACCTGCCGGACGACCTCCGCCTCGAGGCGGAGGGTAAATCGAGGGTAAATCTGAGCCTTCGGGTTGGGTTGGGGTGGTTTGGTGGGTGGTGAGCCTCCTGCTCTGGGGACAAGGGATCGCCAAGTTCCTCCGTCGTCTCGCGGAGCGCTGCGGCCTGGGCCACCCGGACCTCTGCGCGGACCCGCGCGCTGAGTGACGCCACCCCTGGGCCCGCCGCCGCGCCTCGGCCGAGGATGGACGCAGGCGCCACCTCGATGGCTTCGGCGGGGCCGAGCCGCCTGCCCGACACCAGGCCCCAGAGGACCAGCCGCAGCGGCCCCCGCGGCTCGAGGAGTCCGCTCACGCAGCTCTCCGCCTCGCCGCGGCAGGTCGCCGCGAGCTCCAGACATATCTGTCCAGGGCCCGAGCCCGGTGCTCGGCCCGCGCGCTGGCGAGCTCATCCTCCAAGGCCAGGTGGCCCGCGTCGGGGGCGGCGAGGCCTGCAGGTGGCAGCGGCTCCTCTGCCAGCGCCGGCGTGCCCTCCCCCGCCCCCCCACCTCTGGGCAGGCCGCTCGCACGTGGGGCGGGCGCCTTGCCACGAGCACGAGGCCGCCGAAGTGGCCTGCCGAGGTGTACACCACCGAGCGGCAGCACGCGGCGCGGTCCAAGAGGCCCTGTCGCACACCTCGCTTTGTCCCTCGGACAGTCCGCTCCACGGAGCCCCGCGCTCCGCATCACGGCACCAGCCCAGCCCCCAATGAAGCTCAGCGCCGTCGCAGCGCGGCCAAGCGCAGCGTGCCACTCGTCCCTGTGCCCCCACCTGCTGCGGCCGAGCGCCATCTCAGAGCTCGCGGCGAAGGTTGCGGGGAGGTCGACGTTGAGCCTCGCATGGTCGCCTGGGACGCCTGGGGGCCCACACGGCACGACCACCACGCTCACGGGAAACTCAGCGGAGGAGGCCACCACGTCGATGATCGTCCCAGACCTGTGCGCCCCCATCCCGACCGGATTGCGGAGCAACGCGCCGAAGCCATGAGGGCGCAGAAGCAGGTCGAGGATCTAAAGGTCAAGCAAGGACTCAGCCCGCCCATTGACCAGGCCCGAGCACGCAGGGAGGAAGAGGAGGAGGAGGAAGAGAAGGAAAACGAGGAGGAGGAGGAGGAGGACGAGGATAAGATAAGATAAGACACGCTTGCGACCCATGTGCCTGTGACCTCTCTACACAGTGCAAAAAAGAAGAGCGGCCTTGTACTGCAAGAGGATCTGCGTCCGCTGTCTGTCGACATCGGTAGTCGGTCGCTCTGCAGGGGGATTCCACTGGCCACATGCGGGGACCCCTGATGGGAGAACCTTGGGGCCCCGCCGAGGCACCATCTGTCCTGCAAAGCACTGAGAGGCGACGAGTAAACCCCTCAAAGAGTAAGTGAAGCAACGCAATCAACATGCATGTATATGAAATGAGGCGGCACCGAGGGGCTCAGATAGGAAAATGAACTCCACACCCGAAAGTCCCCCACAGTCCACCTCATGACTGGGAGTTGGAGATCCTATCATCATCGCCACCATGCTGCAACGCTGTACTGATGAGTCTATCCTGGGCACGATCACCTGCAGAAAAAACAGTAGCCGTCGAGCCGCGTAGAGGCATGGCTCGAAGACTGGCAGCACGAGTCGTGATATCTTCTAAAGAAATCTGGAATTGGAGAGGAGGGGCATAAAAGGCCATGAAGATGCTGCCAGAGGGAGAGGTATACTGAAGGATGGGGTGGCTGGAACGAGCCTGCAGTGCCCTCAGTCCTGCATCCTGAAGCTGCCCGTGCTGTGCCATGCTGAGCATGCGCTCTGATCCCGCGATGTGCGTGAGCCTGGCATCTAGCCCGCCACCTCGTCGTCGTCGCTCATGTCCTCGTCGTCCGCTTTGTTCATGCCCATCCTGCCGAGAAGCTTGAGTGCCTCCCTCTCGAGGCCGCCCTTGGGAGGACCCCCTGGTTTGTACTTGCCGCCGATCTTGAAGAGAGCCTCGCACACCGCCTGGTGCACCGTGCCCACGGGCGTCGTGTCGAAATAAATCTGGCTGCTCTGCAGCTGCGAACTCAGCATGAACTGGAGCTTGTAGTGTGTCGGCTTCTCCTGCTTGCGCTTGTTGTAGTATGTGGGCCGCATTCTGCAATACCGTATCTGGTCCCGCAGCTGGTGAAGCGAGCTCCTGTCTCCTGCGATGTTGGCATCCCAGTACACCTTCAAGGCCTTCTTGGACGTCTCGGGGGTCTCTGGATGCTCGAGCAGCGCCGTCAACAGCGCCAGCCACATGTGCGTCCATGGTGGGCCGTATGAGTGGTCGCGTCCAGCCTCCTTGCAGCTCTCGTAGTACTGCTTCCCTGCTGCGAGGACTGCCACTACCAGTGGATGAGCAGCGGCGAGGATGAAACAGCTGTGGCAAGCGCCAATGAGGTCGGCCATGTCCCTGCTGTTGTTGAGGCACAACTTGGTGAGAACTTTTACCAGTGCTTTGAGTGGTCCGAGGGAATGGCGCTGCATCGTGTCTTCCGTGGCTTGCTTGAGCTGCTTGAGGCGTCGAGGGCTCTTGGGTCCTCGCTCTCCAGCTGCTTCCCCTTCTGCTGGTCGTGCTTTGGGTTTGCTGACTGCCGGAAGCCCCCAACTGGGAGCCTTGGGCTTCCACTCCTCGCCGCTGGCCGCCGCCGCTGCTGCTGCCCCTTCTGGCATCACGCACGTCGTGTACGATAGGAAGAACAGTAAAGTGCTCACGAAAATGTTGATGAAGACAAACTCGATCGAGCCGATATGTGGGACAGAGCGGGCACATGTAATTGGCATGGTCATCTTGGCCTGCGGTCCTGAACGTGTTCGACCTGCCCTGGATGCAAATCCCCGTCCTGAACGAGTCCTTGATGTGTTTATACGCTGAGTTTCTGGACTCGAAAATCTGCCCACAGATAAAACACTGATTATCAATAGTGAGCAATCCCAGAATATTTAATAACCCATGATGTTGATGTAGATGGCTAGTAAGCTGTCTTCTAGTACCGAAACTTTTACCACAGCCTCTAATACAGCATCGATAATCATCACCATCTCGGTGTTCTGGGAGATCAGGTTCTTGGGGATCTGGCCTGGCCTGGTATCCAGGGGGGGGAACACACACTGTGTATGTGGCCGCTCTCAGCTCGGCGATGTCGATTCTTCCGAACCAGTTCGAAAGCTCAGGGTCATCAAATAGCTGGAGGGGGCGACGGTCCCAGTGCTCGATTTTTTCAGCATGTTCCCCCCCCCCCCCCAGCTGACTCAGACTCTGTACGTCCTCGACAAATCGGTGAGCCCATGGTGACGCATGTCCTGTGAGGTGCCCATGTTCATCTATGATCTGGAGACCTCGCCCACGTTCAACCTTGATGGCAAAGAAGAGAGCCCCCCAGTCAGCGGCATGATAGTGGGGTTCGCGTATCCATTTCTGATACCACTTTAGACGACGGACTCGGAGCTCAACTTCTAATGGGGCTACTCTCCAGAGCTGCAGCACACGTTGGGATGTGATCGACCTGCGGTGTCCATTGTGCCACTCAGTAGCAGCACCTCGAAGAGCTCGTCTGCCATAATCAACAACTCGAGTCTGTATTCTGGCCAGCTGAGTAGCAGAAGGAAGGAATGCTTCAAGAGCTGAGACTGCTGGTCCAACTACTCGACTCAAAAACATGGCCCTCTTCTCTACATAAGGGATGCGGGGCTGGTACCAGCACCGCCCCATAGACCAATATCCTGCCGAAATCGCCGAGAGTCGAGCTTCGAGTTCACTGCTGAATTTACTGTCATACCGAACGAGCGAACCGAGATATTTAGCCACATCATTAGGTACCCCCGCCATAGGTAGGCCTCCAGACTTTATACTAGCTTTGCGGGCTTGTTGTCCAGGTCCCTGGAAGGAGATAACGCTTTCGTTCTTGGTGGGGTTGAGGCGGTAATTGCGACGAGCCAGACAATCTGCCAGGATAGCATCATACAAGAGAGATTGACGACTGAGAGAGATGGCCCCATTCTCCGACGGGTGCGCAACCAGCTTGCGCAGAGCATCATCTACATAACTATGAAGTGACAGGTCAATTTCTAGTACCTCTTGTCCCTCTGGGTGAAGCTCGATCGCACACCAATCAGCCGTGGGCCCCCCCGACTCGAGATATTCAGCTTGCGCCTCCTCAAAGCAGTCTCCGACGTCCCGAACAAAAACCTTGACGGCCCAGGGGTCTCCTTGTAGTGCACCCACCCACGGTTTGGCAAATCGATACCCATCCACTCCGCGAAAACAGACCGCAGAAAACTTGAACCTCTGCTCCCCATAGTAGTGCCCCCCCTCCCTCATGACCTCCTCGTTGGCTTTTTCTAAGGCATCCCAGCTACTGGACCCAATGGCGTTGCTGATATCCTTATGGTCGTTCACAAACTCAAGTCCTAGCTGCTGCAAACTCCATCCAAGAGCTTGCTGGGCGAGTAGAGGGGTCTCTCGACGACGACGAGCGATACATCCATGAGATGAGAGGGGCTCTTCATCTTTCTGGGCTGGGTCAATGCACGCGGCGATGAATGCCTTGCCAAATGGACAAAGAACGTGCACCACGCGCTTCCAAGAGAGTGCAGCAGCTTGCGAGAGGTGCCAGACCAGTGGGACCTGCCGAGAACGTCGAATCCTATGCATGAGTGAAACCAGAAAACCTCGTACAACCTTGAGCTCGATGTTGGGGGCCCCGTACCCAACCCCTCGGAACCGCTTGGACGTGCGCTTGTATGGGAAGAAGATCATCCAAAAAAATTTCATGGGAACCGACCATTCTGGAACAGCTCTCCGACGCCCAGATTTCTGCAAATACTTGCGAATATGCTGCAGCTTTTTCTTGGCCCACTCAAGGCCCTCCTCAGTGTATTGCCCGAGAAAAAAACTGGCCTCCTGCCCATCGGTGGGGTGATAGAGGTAGTCCTTAGCATAGGTAACCCAATCAATTGGTTCAGCCTGCATTCCTCCCTGAGCGGACGGGAGTGACCATCTATCTTGCAACTCCTGACTGGTAGGAAGGGCAGAGGGAGGACGCCTGTAGTTCCTTTTTTTCGGTCCCGTCCCACGAGCCGAGAGTAGTCGCGAAAGCCCTTCGACCTCCGCCTGCCTGCCTATCTTGAGCGCTTCGTGGAGGTCATCTGTGGTGTCCTGTCTCCACTGATGTAGATACTGCCGACGGAGAGATCTGAGCTGCCTAGACTTGATGCGGATCTCCTCTGCAATCGAGAGGACGGCCTCAGAAGAGATATCAGTAGTCAGCTCTAAACGAAGCCTACGCCGTTGTCGGAGCAATTCCAGAATGTGCTGCGCTTGCTGGGGGTAATATGGAGACCTCTGAACTGTGCCTGCGAAGAATCTCTCTGCCGTATCCCTGAGCACCCTGATGAAGATCCCCCATTCAGCATTGGGCGTTTGCTCCTCCCTCCTCCGTCTCTGCCACTCCTCCTGCTCCTCGATCATCTTGGCCTCCAATGCCTGCAAAAACTCGGCTCTCTGAGTACCCATGCGCAGACAATCCATCAACGCCTCTTTGTTCCAGCGAACATGCCTAGGTACAAATCCCACTCTCTCATCTGCCTGGAGTCCCGTAGCCTCTGAACCTGTAGTAGCGGCTAAGTCATACGAGAACCTGAGGTGGAGGGGGGTATGATCTCGGTGATCCTTATGGCGGATGAGTTGAAGCTTTCGAGCGAGACGTCGGAGCGGGCCTGCTGAGGTCACCTGGTCCAGGGAACACCTGGGAATGAAAACATAGTCGAGCATAGAAGTACTACCTGATGGGCCGTAATATGTGGGTCCAGCTCCTAAATGCAGGTTGACGGGGACAAAATCTAAAGCCTTGAGGATCTCTAACATCACATCGGCCGCATAGCGTTGCCGAACGGGTTCTACTACCGATCCAAGACGATTATCTTTCACTGCAGTCCAGTCTTCACTGCCGTGTAGCCTCTGAAGCCCAAATCCAGAATTTAGGTCCATGGCCAGGATGGGAAAACAGCGCGAAATCGCCAGGAAGGGCAGCCCTCGGATCCAGTTGCCTATCCGAACACAAGTTTTTTGATAACCAGCCATCTCATAAGCTCGCTGCGGAGGGGGAGGGAAGTAAACACTGGCTATCCCTATGTCATACTGGCTGCATCGGGCCCTGAGCGCGACCCCTCCCCCAGCGATGTGGGGAGGGGCAGCCCAGGTGTGAGTGACAGTGCCACGTCGAATCCGCGGCCCCAACACGATGGTGCAGCCCGAGCTCTTGTTGCTACCTGGGGAGCGCGCCCATCCTGCTTCTACCGCCCATCTCTTCCCTGCTCTCCTCCACACCACCTCCTCCGTGCCATACTTTCGAGCCCCAGTCCCCGTAAGACATACAAAGTCGAAGCCCGTCGTAGTCTGGGCTATGTCCTGCAGACGGTCATACGAACTCGCCGACATTGGATTGTACTGCAACACTGAAACTCCTTGAAGCCTGCTCATGATAACGCTGCTGATGGCCAGCAGCGACCGCGAGTACCACTTCACCCAAGACGATTCAATCATCAAGAGAAGGACATTGGGGCTGTGGAGCCGAGGAAAAGCCCGAAAGGAGTGTGGGCAGGGGTAGTTGTGATCTTCGTTAGCGGGTGTGCCCCCCCCGCTGTGCAAAGGACTCAGCCCGCCCATTGACCAGGCCCGAGCACGCAGGGAGGAAGAGGAGGAGGAGGAAGAGAAGGAAAACGAGGAGGAGGAGGAGGACGAGGAGGAGGAGGAGGAGGAGGAGGAGGACGAGGAGGAGGAGGAGGAGGAGGAGGTTCGAGGTACCGACGCCTGGGAGCTGGGATGTGGCCTGCGCGCTGTGCCGAGGAGCGCGTGCGGGCCAGGGCGGGCGGCGCGGCACGCCGAGCGAGAGCTCCCGAGCGGAGCCTCGCTTATCCGATCCCCATCCCCAGCGGCGTGGCCTGGGCCGCACCCACCAGAAGAAGGAGGAGGAGGAGGAGGAGCTTCTGAGAAGGCCCGCCCCTTCTCACTTACCCCTCGGGCTCCCCGACGACAGACGGCCGCGAGAGATCCCACTGGCGTTGGACCCACCCACCAGAAGAAGGGGAGGGCCGCAGCGGTGGAGCTAGACAAGCGGGTTCCACTATACCCTGCGAAATGCTTTAGAAATCATGGGTTAAGAAATTCATAGTCTCAGAATTTGAATAAAAACCCAGAATGTCTATTCAAAACTTGGGGTTCACATTGAAACATTAAGAATAATCGAGACTCTGGCCGAAAACTTGGGTTTTCTTAAGCATCGCCTACAGTGTACTCGCAAAACATCTGCTCGCAAAGGGCCTGGATCCGCCGCGAGGGATGCACGGTCCATTTTACCAAGGTGAACAAGTGCTTTTCGGGCGTTTGCGAGCGCAGCCAACCCGTATCACAAGGGCGCGCGATGAGGATGTAAGCGCCTGGAAGGCCGTTTCGAAGCTCTGCGAACGAGGCGCGGTCAGCGAAATTGGCCAAGGATGGACCGAGGAGGCAAGGATGCAAGGATACTCTTGTGAGCCAGCGGCGTGGCCTGGGCCCCGCTGGCCGATCTGCCCCCCTGGATGGGGATGTAGGCCGTCCCCTTCGGGTTCCGAGGGGTGCATCCCCAACTGGAAGGGCTAAGTTGGCGGGGGTCTCGAAGGGGATGGGGGACGGGGGACGGGGATCGGAGAAAGGATACTGAGCGCAGCTGGCATCGCTTTGCGCACGAGCGGATCGGAGGAGCAGGCAGCGGCAGAAACGGAAGGCCTCAGAGGTCCGCGCAAAGCTCGCGGATCGGGTGCTGGAGCCCCTCCCTGGCGCGCTCCGCGCGCCAGGGGCGGCGCCGGAGGCGCCGCCTGTGGGGGGCCCGAGCGCCGATCCGAGAAGTCCGCGCTAGGCTCCGAACGTTCGTGTTCATGCCGCTCTTCCCTCATCGAGGATGCCTTTCTCTGCACCGCCCACACACGGGCTTGGCGGCGAGCGAGGGCGGGGGGAAGTGAGAAGAGGGGCTTCTCAGGAGGCGGCGGTGCTTCTCAGAAGCCCGCGCGCCTTCGGATAGGTTTTCTGAGTCTTCGGAGAAGGCTCCGGAAACTGCTCGCAAGGAGGGGGACTTCCGAGCAGGAGGAGGAGGAGGAGGAGCTTCTGAGAAGGCCCGCCCCTTCTCACTTACCCCTCGGGCTCCCCGACGACAGACGGCCGCGAGAGATCCCACTGGCGTTGGACCCACCCACCAGAAGAAGGGGAGGGCCGCAGCGGTGGAGCTAGACAAGCGGGTTCCACTATACCCTGCGAAATGCTTTAGAAATCATGGGTTAAGAAATTCATAGTCTCAGAATTTGAATAAAAACCCAGAATGTCTATTCAAAACTTGGGATTTACATTGAAACATTAAGAATAATCGAGACTCTGGCCGAAAACTTGGGTTTTCTTAAGCATCGCCTACAGTGTACTCGCAAAACATCTGCTCGCAAAGGGCCTGGAGCCGCCGCGAGGGATGCACGGTCCATTTTGCCGAGGTGGGCAGGTGCTTTTCGGGCGTTCGCGAGCGCAGCCGACCCGTATCACAAGGGCGCGCGATAAGGATGTAAGCGCCTGGGGGCCGTTTCGAAGCTCTGCGAACGAGGCGCGGTCAGCCAAATTGGCCAAGGATGGACCGAGGAGGCAAGGATGCAAGGATACTCTTGTGAGCCAGCGGCGTGGCCTGGGCCCCGCTGGCCGATTTGTCCCCCTGGATGGGGATATAGGCCGTCCCCTTCGGGTTCCGAGGGGTGTATCCCCAACTGGGAGGGTAATTTGGTGGGGGTCTCGAAGGGGATGGGGGACGGGGATGAGGGTCGGTTAAACGATACCGATTGGCTGCAGGCACTCTGCGAGCAGTGGACCGCGCTCGGTGATCGACGAGCGCGTTCCACTACTCGCAGAGTGACTATTCGCAAGTTGCCTGGATCCGCCGGAGGGGGATCTGCGAGAAATGGCACCGAAGCAGACATGTGCTTCTCGGACCGTTTGCGAGCTCTGCGAGCATAGGGGAACAAAAAGTGGCATAAACATAAAAACTCGGAGGTCCGCGCGGATTTCTCGGATCGGCGCTGGGGCCCCCCGGCGGCGCCTCCGGCGCCGCCCCTGGCGCGCTCCGCGCGCCGGGGAGGGGGCCCCAGCGCCGAGCCGAGAAATCCGCGCGGACCTCCGAGTTTTTATGTTTATGCCACCCTCTGTTTCCCTGGAGCAATGCACCCAAAAAAATGTTCTGAGAACGAAAACAATGTTCTTAGAACAAAAACCCGACGTGTGAAAAAAACAAGACAACCTCAGCCAGAAATGTTCTAAGCACATTTCGTGGAAACCACAGAAGGTTCTTAGAACATGGTTTGGTAGGGCCATAGGCGAGCCAGGACGCTTCGCCACTGCTTGCGAGCAGTGCGCCCGCGCTCGGCGAGGAGCCCCGGCGGCGGCGGCAGGGCGCGGAGGCCGGGGATGCTGCAGCCGTGCGGGGGGAGGGGGAGGGGGGAAGCTGGCTTGCGGAGGCGCGCAAGCCCAACAGGCGGATTTTGGACGAAGAAATAATTTTAAACAAAGGATCCCCCCCAAATAATCAAAAATACTAAGAAAAATCGTCCCCATACTTTGTTTTAACTATTTTTGAATATTCCCCCTGTAGAAGAGGGGACAGGCCCGACTTAAGATTAGCGATCTATGGATTTGGCGCGCGGCCGCCAAATCCATGGATCGGGGGAGGTGCCCTCCCCAAAATGCGGCCAATGCTGCCCCGTTCGGCGGCGGAAGCCCGTGATTTCCCATGGAAGCGGGACCCGTCGCTAATCCACACCCCCTTGATCCATGTGTGCGATTGCCTGAGTCTTAGAACCCAAACCCCCTCGGGTAATGAACAATCATGACGGGAGGTTTTTCCTAATTTTCGGCCTCCAGAAGCCCTAACTGGCCCTCGGGACCGTTAAAAAACGACTCAGAATTAGAAACCGGTCCCAGGGAATGGGTCAAAACCTCTGGGGGTCGCGTCATGGAAAAATGATGAAGTCGGGGGTCTGGGAAGGAGGCTGCTTCTTGGAAGGCGCCAGCCTGACATCCGCAAACGAGGCCCGCGCCTTCTAAGGAGCAGGGAAGCTTCTAGGAAGCCTTCCCACCTCCCTCTACCCCCCATCGTCCTCCTCCTCCTCCTCCTCCTCCTCCCCCTCCTCCTCCTCCTTCTCATCATCATTAGCATCAGCATCAGCATCAGCATCAGCATCAGCATCAGCATCAGCATCAGTATCATCATCATCATCATCATCATCAGCAGCAGCAGCAGCATCATCATCATCATCATCAGCATCATCATCATCATCATCATCATCGTCATCATGATCATCATCATCATCATCATCATCATCATCATCATCATCATCATCGTCATCATCATCAGCATCAGCATCAGCAGCAGCACCATCATGAGCATCATAATCATCAGCATCATCATCATCGTCATCATCATCATCAACAACATCAGCACCAGCATCATCATCGTCATCATCATCAGCATCATCAGCATCATCATCACCATCATCATCATCAGCATCAGCAGCATCATCATCATCATCAGCAACAGCATCATTATCATCAGCATCAGCATCATCATCAGCATCAGCATCGTCATCATCAGCATCGGCATCATCATCAGCATCGTCACCTTGAGCATCATCATCATCATCATCATCATCATCATCAGCATCATCATCATCAGCAGCATCATAATCAGCATCATCATCGTCATCATCATCAGCAGCCAGCATATTCATCATCATCAGCAGCATCATCACCATCATGATCATCATCATCTGAAGCATCATCATCACCACCATCAGCATCATTATCGCTTTCAGAATCATTATCATCATCGTCATCATCATCGTCATCAGCATCATCATCATCATCAGCATCATCATCACCGTCAGCATCATCATCAGCATCATCATCGTCATCATCATCCGCATCTTCATCATCAGCCTTCATCTTCAGCATCGTCATCAGCATCATCATCAGCATCATCAGCAGCATCGGATCATCATGTTCATTATTATCATCATCATCATCATGATCAGCATCATCATCGGCATCACCAGCAGCATCATCAACACCAGCATCATCATCATCATCATCATCATCATCGTCATCATCAGCATCATCATCATCATCGTCTGTATCATCATCATCATCATCATCATCGTCCTCATCATCAGCATCATCAACATCAGCATCAGCATCAGCATCATCGTCATCATCATCATCAGCATCATCATCACCATCACCATCATCAACATCATCAGCAGCAACATCAACATAATCATCATCATCATCATCATCCTCATCATCGTCATCATCACCGTCATCAGCATCATCAGCATCGTCACCATCATCATCACCCGAATAATCATCATCATCATCATCATCATCGTCGTCATCAGCATCAGCATTATCATCATCAGCAACAGCATCATCATCAGCATCAGCATCATTAGCACCAGCATCATCATCACCACCATCAGCATCAGCATCACCATCATCATCATCGTCATCATCACCTTCAGCATCGTCATCATCATCAGCATCATCATCATCTTCATCATCAGCATCATCGTCTTCATTATCATCAGCATCATAATCATCATAATCATCATAATCATTATCAGC